GCTACTCAGGAGGCTGAGGCAGGAGAATTGCCTGAACCCAGGAGGCGGAGGTTGCGGTGAGCCGAGATCGCGCCATTGCACTCCAGCCTGGGTAACAAGAGCGAAACTCCGTCCCAAAGAAAAAGAAAAAAAAAAAAAAAATTAACACTGATGCCTCCACTGGAACATGAGTCATGAGCCCAGCAAGACACACAAATAGATCAGGAGAAATGGGAGCATGACTTGATATAATGTTGCCTTCTAAGGAGAATAGACAGGGCTAACAGAATTTAGCAACCTAAAAAATTTGCAAACGAAGAGAGACGTGCCCATAATCCTAACACTCTGGAAGGCCGAGGAGGGGAGATCATTTGAGGTCAGGAGTTCGAGACCAGCCTGACCAACATGGTGAAACTCTATCTCTACTAAAAAATACAAAAAAATTGGCCGGGCGGGGTGGCACATGCCTGTAGTCCCAGCTACTTGGGAGGCTGAGGCGGGAGAATCGCCTGAACCCAGGAGGCAGAGATTGCAGTGGGCCAAAGTCACACCACTGCACTCCAGCCTGGGGGACAGCACGAGACTCTGTCTCAAAAAAAAAAAAAAAGAAACAACTGAAGGAAGAAATTCCTAACAGCAGCCAGGCTCCAATGTCCTTGGCTCTGCCAACTGTGGTGACTCCTGCTTTGGCCCAAGATGTGCAGCGGCACTGGGACCATGTCTCTGGGGCCCTGTCTCTGCCCACCGCACTCGGCTAGGCTGCAGACTGGACTAGCCCTCCAGCAATGTGTCCCATGCCCCGTCCCATAAATCCTGTGCTCCCGCTCGTTTGGAGCACAGGATGTTGATGCCTTCACCTTGCAAAATCCCTCTCTGAACATACAGACTCAATGTCCCCGGCTCTGTGAAGGTTTTTCTGTCCCCTGACCTACCTCACTTCCCAAATAATTGTGCCACGTGTGCCACTTGAGCCACCAGTCACTCTGGGCCAAAGCCTGCCCCGGCTCCTGGCACATTTACCGCACTCTTCCTTTCCAGCTTCTCAGATCTAGACCGTGAAGGCTGGGTGGGGGGTCTTCTCGTTCTTGGGGCCTGGCACACAGGAAGCCCTCCATCACTAGGATGGCACGGCAGGTTCCTGGTGTCTGAGGATGGACTGGGATGTCCTCCCTTGCTCAAATGGCTCATTCAGGCTTGCGGCTGGCTTGGAAAGAATACCCGCTGTGTCCTCCTGCACCTGCCCACACACAGGGCTTCGATTCGTGCTTTCAGTGGCTCTTTGCTGGACTGTGGGCACCATCACAGCTCTGTCCCTGCTGTATTGTGTGTCCTCCCCTTGCCTTTCTGGCTCATGGCTCTGAACAAAGCAGCTCACCCAACCCAATTTCTAGAGCCCACCCCACCCCCCAACCCTCATGGAGCCTCTATCGTGCAAAAAGGGAGGTGGGGACCTGGCAAGTCATCCAGGACAGCCATTTGAAGAGCAGAGGCCAAAATCAGACTCAGGCAAGTGGTTCCTGAACCCAGCTCATCAGCACCATTAAGGGGAGCAAAAAACCAGACCGGGCCAATACCCCAGCCCAGAAGACCCCGACTCCTGTTGTCCACAGATGGGCGCAGGAGCACCTTTGCCGAGGACTCCTTTCCATCCCAAACCCCTGACCTTGGAGGAGCCCCTGGGGCCTGCCAGGGGCCTCCGCCCTCATGGCTGGATCCAGACAGTCCTGGGATGCTGCAGCTTCTGTACCTGCTGCACCAGCCTCACATCACCGAAGGGTCTCTCTACTCAACTTCTGAGTCGAGATGCATAAGCAGGGTGGGAGCCTACAGCAGCCCCCGCAGCAGCCTGCAGAGAGCTGAGCACCTCCCACACGGCACAGCACAGAAGGCACCTGCCGTCGCCGGGAAAAGCCCTGATTCAAAAAGGCTGGGCCCCGGAGTCATGCACACCCTCTCCCAGGTATCCCTGTGCAGAAAACAGTGTCCCTGGGGGAGAAAGAGGCCAGGCTGGTGTCAAAGAGCGTCAATGGCATAGTCACGGTCCCTCCTCCGACTTGCTTCCTCCTGGAATCCCACAAACAAGCCCCCCTGCTGGGAGCCTGGCGGTCCAGGGACCAGAGCAGTCACTGCCTACTTGGTGTGAGTCATGAACGCCCTTCACAAGACGATCAGATTCCTTCCTGTCCAGTGAAGGCCAGGAGCCATGGGTCCCACCCACCGCTCCCACTAACACAGAGATCAGGGGCTGGAGCCAGACTGTGCCTGCTCCATCACCTCCTCACAAATGACGACAAATAATGATAAGAACAGCAGCAAACACTGACCCCCCCACCCGTGAGAGCATAGGTCACTCAACCCTGGAGGCTCCATGGCCCCCCACCCCAATTTAAAGGTGAGGAGGCTGGGCGCAGTGGCTCACGCCTATAATCCCACCACTTCGGGAGGCTGAGGCAAGTGGATCACCTGAGGTCAGGAGTTCAAGACCAGCCAGGCCAACATGGTGAAACCCCATCTCTACTAAAAATACAAAAATTAGCTGGGCATGGTGGTGGGCACCTGTAAACCAGGTATGGCAGTGGGCACCTCAGCTACTTGGGAGGCTGAGGCAGGAGAATCGATTGAACCTGGGAGGTAGAGGTTGTAGTGAATTGAGATTGTGCCACTGCACTCCAGCCTGGGCAACAGAGTGAGACTGTCTCAAAAATAATAATAAAGGTGAAGAAACGCATTTGGACTAGTTGGATAGTAACTTGCCCAGGTTGCACTGAGTGGAGTGGGGGTGACGAAGACTCTCCTTGACTGAACCTATGTGGTCCCTCCGGCTCTTTATTCTGGCTAGATCCCATCCCTGGGCATGTTCTCAAGAGCCCAATTTTTGCAAGAATCCTGCTAAGTCAGTTTCGCCAGAGCCCCCTGCACCTGCTATCTGATCAGATTCCTCATCCCATGCCGTCCCCAGGGCATATCTATCCCTCTGGCCTGTCTTCAGCGAGATTCCTGTCAGGTCGGTTTCACCAGAATCCCTCTCCCCTCCGGAGCGTGCTTCTTCATGATTTTCCATCCATCAACCCTACCCTGCCTCTCGGCTGTAAGTTCCCACTGGTCCATGTGAATCCGGCACTGGGCCCCTTTCTAGGCTGAGGTCTTTCCCCCATCACAGTAGCTAAAATAAAATCTGCTTTTACCACTTTAACTGCTGTCCAGCTTGGGTTTTTCTTTGATGCTTACTGCTCTCCTCTTCCCTAGGATGGGGTGGGGCGATGGGCCAGCACCCCCAGACTCAGAGGAAAGCACAGGTTATGTGCATAAATACTTCCGTGGCATCACAGAAAAGGGTTTCAACAGAGGGCCTGACATGGTAACACTGGAAGAGGCATGTTAGCTCTTTTCTTTTTCACTGAGACTACCAGTTACTCAGCAACAGGATTCAGAGGCCCTGGTTCAAATACAGACACTCCCAGGACTCCCGTGGTTGAAGACTTGGATGACTTGAGTCAATGGTTGGCAGAATCTGAACCGCCCTTTACCTGGCTTGATGAGCTGGAATAATGGGGCCGGCACCCAGGCTGTGACTGTTCCTGGGCTGAGCAGCGAGGCTGCGCCAGATGCAGGCTGGACTGTGAGGGAGGAATGCTGTAGGCTGGTGGCGGGGGGTGCAGATGGAAAACATGGAGAGGGAGAGGGAAGGGGGAGCGATGGGAGTGCTGCTGGCTTTGCAGTCTGCTCCCTCCACCTCCCTGAGGGCCTGGGGACCCCGATTCTGAGCAGGTTAGAGAAGTGTCTCCTGAGGGTCAAATGAGCTCTCTCAAAGATCTGCTGCAAGGACCAAATTAGAAAGCACGTGTGGCCAGGTGCAGTGGCTCAGGTCTGCATCCCGGGACTTTGGGAGGCCGAGGCTTGAACCCGGGAGGAGGAGGCTGCAGCGGCCTGGACAAGAACAAAACTCTATCTCAAAAATAAAAAATATAAAAAATTAGCTGGGCATGGTGGGGCATGTCTGTAATCCCAACAACTTGGAAGGCTAGGGCAGGAGGATCGCTTAAGCCAAGGAGTTTGAGGTTGCAGTGAGCTATGATCCTGCCACTGCACTCCAGCCTGGGGGACAGAGCCAGACACTATCTCGAGAAAATAAAAAACAACCAAAGAAAGCATGTGCAAAAAAGCCTGAGCCGTGACCATCATCCAGACTATGACCAACACTTGACTGATGCTAAAACACTTCGGCGATCTCAAAAAAGACCAGCGCCAAGTGCTCTCTCAGGAGCGCTGTGGCCCATCTGCATGGTACAATCTCTCACCATGAGAATCCACACAAAGGCTGGCAGAGTGAACGAGATAATGCAGTGGGACAGGGACAGGACTGCTGAGAGCAATTTTTAGTTAATTTATTTTGTTTTAGCCGGGTCTCACTATGTTGCCCAAGCTGGTCTTGAATACCTGGGTCAAGCAATCCTCCTGCTTCAGCCTCCTGAGTAGCTGGATTACGGGCATGCGCAAGACGAGGCTTTTTCCTTTTAAACCTGATCTCAGTATAGGGAACACCAGGAGGCCCTGAGCCACTGAATTCCCTTATACGCTTCCAAGATAGAAAAACAGGCAGGAGCTGCACCTCCCAAGATGTGACCAGCCAGGCCGGGTGGCAGGAAGGGGTGAAGCCAGCACTTAGTAAAGATTAGAAGATCGGCACAGGATGGGCCAATTTCAGCCCAGGGCACCGCCTAACCATTCTGCTTTTAGGTTCTCCTAAGGCCAGGCAGGAACTGAGGCCCCAGCTGCAAAACCAAGTTGAATGAAAATTCTTTGGGGATGAGACGACCCAACAGACATGCAGACAGAGGGCCATCCATCAAGACCCATCAAGGCCCACTCAGGCACCAGCCCAGGTCTCCCACGGTGGATGTTTCAGAGCCACAGCTGCCCACACCACCCCACCCTGGGTGCAAGGCCACGTCAGCGTCCCCAAGGGCCACATGAAAAAGGACACCATGCATCAGGCAGGGATGGCAGGGCGGCAGCCTTACCTGGACCTGGCCCTTCCCCATGAGTCTGTCTGTGCTCTCGCCGTCCTCCTTGGGGATCTTCGTCTTGTTGTAACACTTTTCATAGCACAGTATCCTCAGGGTCTGGGAGCCCTCCAGCTCGATCTCAAATTCCTGCAGCCCCGAGGGAGAAGGCGAGTCCAGTGTGAACAAACAGGTCAGCATCATGGCCAAAGGGGCCTCTGAACCGGGGCTCTCCCTGCTGCCCTGGCTGCCCCAGAGGGACCGATGCCTGCGACCCTCCTCCCGTAGTCCTGGGACGCATAGATGTGTTCCCTGTAAGCATCCCTGGCATCAGACTGTGGCCCAGCCTGCATGCTTCCCAAAGATCCGACGGGCTCTCAAACCTGATCCAAACTCCTAACACCAGCATCTCAAAGGGTTATCCCCACACCAACTGTCTCAGAATCTCCAGGGTGCCCGTCAAAAGATAGTTTTATGGGTCAGGAGCGGTGGCTCACACCTGTAATCCCAGCACTTTGGGAGGCTAAGGCAGGCAGATCACTTGAGACCAGGAATACGAGACCAACCTAGCCAACATGGTAAAACCCCGTCTCTACCCTAAAAATACAAAAATTAGTCGGGCATGGTGGTGCATGCCTGTAATCCCAGCTACTTGGGAGGCTGAGACATTAGAATTGCTTGAATCCAGGAGGTAGAGGCTGCAGTGAGCCAAGATCATGCCACTGCACTCCAGCCTGGGCATCAGTTGGAGACTCTCCCTCAAAAAGCAAGAACAACAAAAAAGACATTTCTTTTTTTTTTTTTTTTTTTGGAGACGGAGTTTCACTCTTGTTACCCAGGCTGGAGTGCAATGGTGCGATCTCGGCTCACCGCAACCTCCACCTCCTGGGTTCAAGCAATTCTCCTGCCTCAGCCTCCTGAGTAGCTGGGACTACAGGCACGCGCCACCATGCCCAGCTAATTTTTTGTAGTTTTAGTAGAGACAGGGTTTCACCATGTTGATCAGGATGGTCTCGATCTCTTGACCTCGTGATCCACCCACCTCGGCCTCCCAAAGTGCTGGGATTACAGGCTTGAGCCACCGCGCCCGGCCAAAAAAGATCTTTCTATGGACTCTGGATGATAACGATCTGTTGATGTGGGTTCACTTTTATGGTGGTGAGACTATTCTGTAAGATATTATCATGGTGGATACACATCATTCTACATTTGTCAAAACCCATAAAATGTGTAACACCAAGAATGAACTCTACCTAATGTCAACTATGAATTCTGGGTGATCATGATGGTTCACTGTGGGCTCATCAACTGTAACGAATACCCCACTCTGGTGTGGGACGTCCGTAACTGAAGTGGGGGGCAGGGGTATACAGGAAAAACTGCTCCCCTAGCTTTCAAGCTGTCTGCCGTGGATGTGTGGTGTTAACTCTCTACTCTCAATGATGGTGCCACTGGTGAATCTGCACTTCACACCTAGGTGCGCACGCATGGGTTCCTGGTGGGGCAATGGAGGGTGAGGGGAGAAGCAGCAGCAGGAATTTCTGAACCTGAGTGAGTGAGAGAGAGGGAGGGAGAGGGAGAAGGGGGGAGAGAGAGAGAGAGAGAGAGAGAGAGAGAGAGAGAGAGAGAGAGAGAAGAGAGTGTGTGTGTGTGTGTGTGTGTGTGTGTGTGTGTGTGTGAGAGTATCCCTGAGCCCAGACCTTCATGGACAGTGAGGGTGGTGGAGGTGACCTGCTACAATCTAACCCTCACACCCTCACGCCTCCCTCGAGCTCCCGTCACTGCCTGGCACCTGAACCTTTTACATACTGCCTGGCACCTGAACCTTTTACATACCGCCTGGCACCCCTCTCTTGTTGTCTCTGCTGGGCCATGGCCCTCTTGCTCTCTGCAAAGGTTTCTTCGATGGATCCCATGTGGCTTTATCCCCCGCACATCATAGCTGCCGCTTAGCCCTTTCACAGGGGAGCTACAACAACTAGGTAATTTTACGGAGCTCCTGTGCCCTTATACTATTCAACACATACCTAAACTGATCAAAGAGTAGTGGGTGCTGAGAAAGGAGACCTGGGTTCCAGCCCCCCTGTCCACTCCACCAGCCTCATGACCCATGTAGACCAAGCAGCCTGGGGGCTCCAGGCTTCCTCCTCTGCAGGAGATGGGGTGGGAGGCGGCTCTCTGCAGGCCCAGCCGTCTCTACCTGCACCAACAAAAATGAGACCGTCGAGGTCACAGCTGCTGCAGAAGCTGGGAAATGGCACCTCTTATGGATCTGGAGACTTAGTCAATACTGGCCTCTCTGCAATCTTTCCCCCACTCCCAGAAGGGCAGGGCCAAATGGCTAAGTGACTCACGCAGCAGCTCTCCAAGGTGGAGGAAGGCACAGCGACACACAATACAAACCCAACACCCTGAGACAAGCAAGCAGGACCCTGCAGTACCTGTCCCAGCCCTACCAGCAGAGCCCCAGGCTTCCGGAAGCTAAGAGGGTCATGGGAGCTCATTCCAACTTCTGCGGAAAAACACTATGGAAACTACCAAGTAAACAGAAGCGATAACAAAGGCAGACAAAAAGCCCTTTCAAGTCTCTTTCCAAACACCTCCAGCAAAATAGGCGGCTGCTTTCGATGATGGGGGTGGGTAAGATTCTTAGGAACGGAGATAAAATCTCTTAGACACGTCACCTCCTGGCCCTGAATTCCAAGAGATTCCTGGAATTCGGCAGCATTGCCTTTGGGGGAAGCCCTCAGGGAGCCCCTGAAGGTTTAGATTCTCTCCAGTGGAAAATATCCTGTGACCGGCTGGCAGGCCGGGCCCTTGTGGAATCCGCTCCTCACCTCGTTCCAGTTTGGCTCAGCAGTGTCCCTGTAGACGCGCGTCTTTGCTTTATTCACAAAATACCCAAAGGAATCCACCTCCAGGGTGCAGTACAGATCTGTGGGAAGAAAGGGACATGGAGAAGGTGGCAGCTCTTTTCCACATCAGCCACATGGTCTATAAGAGCAGGTGCTATTTGAAGAATCCGGAAAAAAAAGTTTTAACTTTCTTTTTAAAAATAAAACACCAAATGGGGTTCTGGCATGAACACCAGCACCTCATGCGACACTCCTGCCTGATCTGTAAAATTCCCCTGGGTGCAGCTGGGAAACGGGACCTCCCACAGCATTCATTCACGCAGTCAGTCCACAAACCACAGCTAAAGCCCCTATGATGAGAAGGGCCCTGCACTGGCGGGGACAGAGAGGCGTACATGCCATCGTTACAAAGGGGTTTGAGCCACAGTGACACCACGGCAGAGGCCAGCCATCCTGGGGGATGTGGGAAGCTCCTACAACCAGGGCAGACCCCGCTCTAAGTATTATAGGGCAAAGAGCGAAGGCAAAGGGCACCCCAGGCCACTGTGGGGCACAGGAAGCAGCTCAGTGCTGGGGAAGCCGTGGAGTGCAGGAAGGAGGGAGGGAGACGAAGCTGGGGGAGAGTGGGGCTGGGCTGTGGGCAGTAAGTGGCAGGGTGGGGTTTGTATTTTAGAAAAACCACCTGAGTGGCTCACATTTGTAATCTCAGCACTTTGGGAGGCCAAGGCAGGCGGATCACCTGCGGTTAGGAGTTCGAGGTCAGTCTGACCAACAGGGAGAAACCCCATCTCTACTAAAAATACAAAATTAGCTGGGTGTGGTGGTGCGTGTCTGTAATCTCAGCTACTCTGGAAGCTGAGGCAAGAGAATCACTTGAACCTAGGAGGTGGAGGTTGCGGTGAGCTGAGATAGTGCCATTGTACTCCAGCCTGGGCAGTAAGAGCGAAACTCTGTCTCAAAAAAAAAGAAAAAAAGAAAAACCACCTGAGAAGGGGGATGGAGAGGCCTGGTGGTGGGGACCCTTTCTGCAGTGACATCCAGAGCTACAACCAGGGAGGAGGCCACAGCCAGGGCCTGGCCAGGCAGCCTGAGACGATCAAGAAGCCTCACTGATGGAGAACGGCATTTAACAGAGGGAAAGTGGACACAGTATCTGGTGTGGCCGCAGGGGTGGATGGTGGTGCCCCTCAAAGGAACAGGACGTAAGAGGAACAAGTTTGGGGGCCATGAATAATAGGTTTGGTTTGGGGAGGGAAGGTTGAGTGCATGGGACATTGAAGACATAGAAAGAAAGGTAACAGGGAAGCAAGGACAGACAGGCCCGGGACTGCAGGGCAGCGTGCGGCGTCACCCTGCACTGCTCACAGACAGGACCTGGGAGGAGAGGCAGGGATGGAGGAAGGCCCATGAGGGAAACACCAGCGTTTATGAGGCCGCCAGAGACGGGGCCCGGGGAAAGATTATGTGTGTTACAACGCTATGGAGGTGTAATCTGCATGTCATATAATTCATTCATTCCAAGAGTAGGGTTTGAGGATTTTTAGCAAATTTAAACACTTGCGCAAACAGCACCACAATCTTCACGACACTGCTCTCAGCTAAAAAGTCCCCTTGGGTTCATCGGCACTAAGTTCTTTCTCCCAACCCCGTCCCTCAACAGTCACTGGTAAGCTTTCTGTCTCCACATTTTGCTGTTTCTAGAAACTTTTTTTTTTAGGTGGAGTCCTGCTCCGTCACCCAAGCTGGAGTGCAGTGGCACAATCTTGGCTCACTATAATCTCCGCCTCGTGGGTTCAAGTGATTATCCCGTCTCAGCCTCTCAAGTAGCTGGGATTACAAGCGCCCACCACCTCACCTGGCTAATCTTTGTATTTTTAGTAGACACGGGATTTCACCATGTTGGGTCAGGCTGGTCTCAAACTCCTGAGCTCAAGTGATCCACCTGCCTCAGCCTCCCAAAGTGCTGGGATTACAGGCACAGGCCACCGCTCCTGGCCTCTAGAAACTCATATAGTGCAACTGATGTTGCCTAGTCTTCACTGTTCTGACGGCTCCAGCAGCTGGGGGAGAACCTCACTTAGAGGGCAAGGTAAAAGAGAGTATTGGGGGCTGGGCACAATGGCTCACGCCTGTAATCCCAGCACTTGGGAGTCTGAGGCGGGCGGATCACAAGGTCAGGAGTTCAAGACCAAGCCCGGCCAGCATGGTGAAACCCCAACTCTACTAAAGATACAAAAAATTAGCCAGGTGTGGTGGCACATGCCTGCAATCCCAGCTACTTGGCAGGCTGAGGCAGAGCTGCTTGAACCTAGAAGGTAGAGGTTGCAGTGAGCCGAGATAGCTCTGTTACACTCCAGCCTGGGTGACAGGACGACACCTTGTCTCAGGAAAAAAAAAGAAAAAAAGGGTATTATTCATCCAGCGCGACAGAGCAGCCAAATCTGCTCTGCTGTGGGGTGAAGGTGTACAGCTGACTGCCCTCCTGGCTTGGACCCAAGACTCCTGGGCACTCCCGCTGCTGCCTGTCAAACTCCTTCTCAAGCCCCTGTGACCACACAATCCACCTGCAAGGGTCAGCTCACCGGCTCCCAGGATCTGAGACAGGCTCGGGAGACGGCAGAGACCACATCGGGAAAAACAATTCCAAACACCCAGAAGGCATCAAGCAGCACCAACGCTCCACCACGGCCAGTGATCAAAGGTGTCCCGTGGTCATCTGAACAACCTCCCTGCTTCCCCACACCCTGGCCGATTAGTCCTTCCTGGGTGGAGAACCTGGCTCAGTCCGTGGAACTTCCTCCCCACACCAGTACTTACTTGAACTCTGCTTAAATCCAGTGGCTGAGTGGACGATGACATTCAGAAACCCATAGAGCCCCGGAGACTCATCATCTGTACAAGAGACCAAAGAGGTGAGCGTCTGTTGTCCCGGGAAAGGGAGGCAGGTGACAGGCTAGCTCTGCTTCAGAGTCAACCATCCGGGAGACACGGCATAGCTGCCATCTGCCCAGCACAAGGCAAGCCAGTGTCACGGGCCAAAAACATACCCGTCATGATTTCTGTCTTGGGATCTCAGGGTCCAGTTGGCTTCACAACACAGGCAAACCAGGGACCCAAAGTTTAATAATGTTCCAAAGACAGCAGAGGGGGTCGGGGTGATGTGGACGTGGATGAGGTGTGTGTGGACAGGTGCGCATAGCATGTGTTGTGTGTGACTGAGCATATGTCCGACAGTGAATGCAAAACTCGGCTTGACCCAAAGTGCCAATCACCAAGTAGCGGGAGGAGGGAGGGCTGGGAGGACGGGAGTGGGGCCGTACCAAGGCATGGAACATCGGAGGAGCGTCCGCTGTCGGCTCGTGACTAGGAACGTGATTAGCCACGCATCTCCTCAACCACCCAGCAGCAGCCACTCAGGGAGAGGCCGCTCCTAACCCATCTCATCCACTCCTGGGAGGAGACAGGAGGCCCTAACAAGCACACCTCTTCCTTCCGAACCAAAGTCCATTAGTCCCAACAAAAGTGCTAACAGGAAGTGGGGGTCAGCCCCCGGGCCAGCTGCCTGCCCTCCCTGCAGGCGCCCTGTGTGCAGGAGGACGGACCCACCTTCCTTGTTGATGGTCAGTGGAATGCTGTGGACCGTCTGCAGTTTGACACACGAGTTGGTCAGCATCTGCAGCTCCACGGATGTCAGGGAGAAGCTTTTGAAACCTGGGAGGTTGGAAGAGAGGTGCACCAACTGGTCATTGCGCTTCTTGGCCCTCCAGCCCCTCCCCCTGGACCCACACCACATCCTGGGGAAGGGGTATGGCAAGAACTAGTGCCAGGACTTGGAGGCTCAGGAGAGGGCACTTGGCTCCCAAGTGCAGTGCTGGTCCAGCAGCAGAGCAAGGTGTGGCTCTGGAAGGCCCAGGCCTGGAGGAGTCTTGGCGTGAGACTCACAAACGCACACGTCACGCGCTACCTATGCTCACCCACAAGGCAGGTCTGAGAATAAGCGGCTGGTCGGGGAGCAGCTCCCTGTGAGGTCTCCCCAGACAGACAGCAGCCACAGCTCTGCCTCCATTTCTCCACCAGGTGAGGAAAAGGGGCTTATTTCTGGATATAATGCTGAACGGGAAACAGATGCTGCCACTCTAGAAATGGCTGGGACTCCCATGTTATGACAGGAAACCCAGGGCCAGGAGCACTGGCAGGGCTGCTCAAATCTCCTCATTGCCCCAGACCACGGGGGCAATGGGGGCTGAGATGTGGCTCTGCATAGGTGAGAAGGATGAGCCTGAGGGGATGGGAGGTCAGGCCAGGTCAGAGGTGCACAGAGCCCCTGCCCAGCATCCCTGTGAAAGATGATGATTTGCAGGTAATGGCCCACAGCTGTGGGAGGACCAGGCCACCTGGATATGGTGCTCAGCCCAGCTCCCCCTGCAAGAGGGACAGTGGCATACAGAGTGTCAGTGAGAACATCTAGGTAAGGATGGTACGTGAATCCCAAACCTCCAAGGAGGAAACTGGGTGTGTCTTCCCCCGCCCCCGGCCCCTGACGAACACAGGAGAGAAGGAAGGAGCGCCCTGACAGAGGGAAGTGCCCAGAGAAGGAAGGGGCTGCCCCAGAGGGAGGGAGCACCCCTGTGCTGACAGCAGGCAGCCGGGCCATGTGGACAGGGCAGTGGGGCCAGCACAGTGTGGCTACCCAAGTGGGCCCAGCCAAGGGCCCCTTTAGCCTCAGCACCTACTGGGGCAGGGAAGGCCTGGGGGAGCACAGGGCAGATGAGGGGAAATGGGGGAGGCCAAGAAAATGGGGTGGTGGCAGGGTCCCGGAAAGGCCTAGGGGGCAGGCCAGGAGGTGGGGTGTATGTGCAGCAGGCTGGGGAAATGAATGCCCAGGGGATGGCGGCAGGATAGGTACGGGGTGTGTCCAAGTGAAAACGCGGCGCCATTAGACGGTCAGGAGTGGAGCGACAAGACGGCTGGGAGGCCTACGGGGACGGCCGTCTCCAACTTGTTTTCTAAATGGGCCCTCCACCTAACACTTCACTTGATAAAACCACTCAAAACAAAAACGGAGGTTTCAAGCCACAGGAGCTGCCAGCCCGGCCCTGGTGTTTCGAAGCCCAGCCCTCTGAGGACAGAGGACACTCACACTTCTTCTGCTGCTCCCGGATGTTCTCCCTCCACTCTGCACGCTCATAGTCAGAGGAGATCAGGAACGTGTAACTCTAGGGTGGGCGAGAAGAACACACCCAGTTATCTCCACCTTGGAGCACGCAGCCCACACCTCCAGCTGGCTGGAGCCCAGTGGCCAGGTGTGCTCACAGCCCGGAATGTCGCTTCTGGCACTCCCTGCCCTTCTTGCCAGCTGGGTGTCACAGCACCTCTGGCACAAGCTCTTTCCCAAACTATACATGTGAGGGTGTGATGCCAGCAGAGGGGCACAGCTAAGGGACATGGAGGTGACCAGGTGGGAATTGCAGAGGTGAAGGTTGATCTAGACCCGACCTCCTGCATTCAACCCACAAGCCCCCTAGCCCACAGACAAGGCTTCTGCAGAGCCCACCAGCTGCCTCTCCTGGCCAGCCTAGAAAACAGGCCATTCTGCACGTTGATAGGTGTGTGTCATGCCCCTGGAAGGAGAGGCTACAGACGGCACCAGGAGCCAAACTCAGGACAGAAGGTGCATCTTTGACCCTCAAGGCCCCGAGACAGCATCCCTGTACCGAGGACAAGGTCTGCACAAGCCTGCTAGGTGCCCCTGTCCTATACCCACCTTGGAGATCCAGCCCACTCCCAGCTGTGGGAGCTGAGCCAGCTGCCACTCAACCTGAGGGCTATGGCCCAAAACCCCAGAAAAAGGAACGAGTGTGCTTGCATGCGCCATGCTGGACAAGCCTCTCAGCGCAGGGTGCATCCAAGTGAAAATGCACTGCCATGAGACAGTCAAGAGCCCATCCCAGGCCAGAGGAGCAGGAGGGGCCGGCGTGGCGGGGCTCACCTTGCCGTTACGGCTGTGTACCCTGAAGGCCATGCTGGGAGACATGAGCAGCAGCAGCGACTCCTGCTCCGACAGCTTCTTCTTCAGCCTCTCCGTGGCCTTGCTGCCCTTGTTCGCCCTCTGTGGGGAGATGCCACAACCTCACCTTCGCATTCCACCGCCCCATACAACTTGCTCCCGCTCCATCCACCCCCACCACCAGCGGTGTTCAGCCTGCAGAGGGCGAGAATCCCGTGTCTCCACTCAGCACAGCCCAGGGCCCCAGACTGCTGCTGGTGGTGGCCTTTGGAGGACAGGACAGCCTTGTTCCAGGGTCAAGGCACGGCACACGCTGCGGGACATGCTTGGAGCCTTTCTTGGAGGAACGAGGTCTTTCCTCTCATAAGGGTGGAGAGAAGAGACTTACAAACAACCCTGCCTTTCATTTTCTCCCCAATTCAGACAATGTCCAGGGGGCTGTTGCGACCTAGAGGGTCCCTCACCCGCTTCCTAATCCAGTTAGATTTCCACATTGGGCCCAGTGGGCATATTTGTGGAGGTCCCAGCAGAAGGGCAGACGACTCTCAACAGAACCTGGACAGGTGAGCCCTTCCTATGCTGACCTGTGTGGATCCCTCTAGAAGCCACTATCCCTGGGGAGAAAATGTGCTGCCTGTCACCAGATAGGGCCCCTCCCAGCCCCCAAAGAGCCGAACATGGAGAGTGCAGCAGTCACACTCAACAGGCCTCAGCTGCCCTCAGGGTGCAGCACTGGCCCCTACTCTGCAAGGGGACAGCCCACCACGGAGGCCACAGTCCCACAAGGACGAAAAAGACAATATTCACCCCAGTCTTGAAGCTCCCCTGTACTCCTAACTGTGCCGGGTTTGGGTGCAGCAGGCCGGGCAGCTGGACAAGGGCTGAGGACTCCGGTCCCGCTGTGTCCACCCTACCTGGGCGTCCCTGGGCCCAGGCCCAACCTTTTTGCCACCCACCTCCTCTGGCCTAGCTAACCAGATTGAGGGGCTCGTCCTCACCATTTTTACAGTCTTCAAACATCTCTGGAGAAAACTAAGTGCCTGTAGTCCCAAACACCTGGAGGGGTGGCACCCCCACCTGGGCCTGGCCCCCCTCAGGGTAGCTGAGCAGGGGACAACCAGCCCCTCCCCTAGGCCCCGCATCCTGAACCATTCCAAGCCCTCCAGCATCTGGCTGTGACTTTCTCCAGTGACTTGGCACTTCACCCACAAAACGGAACCACACAGCAAAGGGCGCTGCCTGGGCATCAGGAGACCACACACTTGAACTCAAGCCAGTGGCCAGAGGTGAGAACCCAGAAGCCTCTCTCCCGCCTGGCTGACTGAGCTCCTGCATTCCTGCTGCTTCCTT